ACTTATGTACTTAGTTTACGAAATAAAACTTTAATATAAGAAGTTTACGAAATAAAACTTTAATATAAGATGTTATTAGGCCAAAGCCCCTATTTGCACCCTCCATTTATTTTTTTTTCGCGGTTAACACCTTCCAGAATTTTTTCTCCCTATTCACACCCTTCACTTTTCAAAACCCATGAAAAACCCAATATTTTAACGGGCCGTCATGGCACCGTTAAAAAATATATTACGTGACACCCAAAAATTGACGTGGCACTATGTAACGTTAATAATCCAACGTGGATCTTTTTTTTTTTATGACGTGGTTTATTTTTTACGGATGTGGACGCCACATATACAGTAAAAATAATAAAAAATTATAATATTACCAAACAATTACATAAATGGCATTTTTTCATTTTTTTTCTTTCCCCCATCATCCTCGGCATCATCTTCACCATCCTCTTCTCAATGGGTTCCTCGCGGGGAACCCAATTCGGGTTCCTGCGCGGAACCCAAAAACTGGGTTCCCCGCGAGGAACCTAGATCTGGGCTCCCGCGCAGGAACCCAGTTCCAACCATTTTTTTTTATTTTAAATGTATTTATCTTAGCTTCCGATTTTATGCAAAGCAATTTGAAATAATTTTTTTGTTGGAAATGTGAGTTTTTTTGCTTGGAGATTGTTTCTGAATAGGTTGTCAATTTGAGTTTTTTTCGTTTTTTGTGGGAAAGGAGTAGAAGATGCTTATCATGTTTTTGTGCAGTATTCATTTACTTATAATTGTGTGGATGAAAATCTTAGCTTAGTAGGCATTCATGTGAAATTAGGTTCCACGAAGAACTCAGAACCTGGGTTTTGTGAGGAACCTAGGGGGATGAGGACGAGGATGGTGAAGATGATACCGGGAAAGAAGAAAATGAAGAAATTAAAATTAATGATGATTTAATTATAACACATATAAAAAAAGTCCAACATTGGATTAATAAATGTGACATAAAGTTCTAGGTTCCTGGTTCCATGAGGAACCCAGGAGGATGAAGAGGAAGATGGTAAAGATGATGCGGGAAAGAAGAAAATGAAAAAATTAAAATTAATTATGGTTTAATTATGCCATATCATAAAAAAAAAAAAGTCCACATTGGATTATATTACTGTTTAATGCCATGTATTACAATTTTTAACGGTTATTAATGGTGCCGTAACGGCCCGTTAAAATATTGGGTTTTTCATGGGTTTTGAAAAATGGAGAGTGTGAATAAGGAAGAAAAATTCTGAAAGGTGTTGACCGCGGAAAAAAAATAAATAGAGAGTGCAAATAGAGGCTTTGGCCATGTTATTATTACACATGTTATATATTTAATTTAAAATTTATATTTATATGAGTTGTTATTATTGTGTGTGTGATTTGTTTGATTTATAGATCTTAACTTTTATTTTTATTTTTATTTTTTAAAATTATTATTATTATTATTATATAAATATTAAGTATAATAATTACATATAAAATTTTAATCATACAAGTATAAGTAACAGGTAAGTGAAACAAGTTAGTTAAACAGGTTAAATAAATAATTTTAAACTCTTATATTTATTACTTAATATGATATTTACGAGTATTTATTTTCATATTTATTAGCTACCCATTTTTTTACCGTTCGAACATGATACTCACCCAAATAGATGAGATACCCGTAAACTTTACAAGCGTATCTATACTCAACACTCAGCCCTAGCATTTAGGACTGTTTTTCACGTATTGCTCTATAGTAATAAAATCTTCTTTTTCTTTCTCTCTCTATTCTAGAAACCTCCTGACTAAACCCTCCCAAAGTTCCAGCCTTTTTTGGTGCTTGGAAACCCTTCGACTTCATGAGTTTTTGGGACTTGGAAGCCCTTCGACTTCTCAAGTATGGTGGAGCTAACCCTCATGCTCCTTTGTCCGTTAACCACCTTGAGTGGTCTATCACCTTTTTGGGGCCCCTCCTAATGGTCTTTTTCTTTTTCTTTTTCTTTACTGTTTTTAGTTTTCTTGTTTGTTTTGTTTAGATCTAGTGGTCAACAAGATAATAAAACAAAAATTAGGGATTGGTC